GTTTGTATTCATCTTACATAAAAAAAGATAAGTCTTTATTAGAAATGATTAAATAATTGAGGATTTGGGTCAATTGAAGATCTTATAATCAAAGAATTTTAGAAGATAATATTTAACTACATTCTTTGACTAGCAGTGTTTAACGGCATACAAATATATTTCTATTGTTTAACCTGAATTTTAAGTGTTTTTAATATTTTTTTTTCATCAATACAGAGCTCTAATGACTGAGTATTCACCATAAAAAAAAAACCATTTCAATCCGTTGTTAATTTGAAACTTAATGGGTTCTACATCAGCCCGAATGAATGCAAGGTGAATCTCTAGTTTATTAAGAGCTAGAGTTCTGAAAATTTCAGGAGAAACTTCTACACTAGAAAGCATTCTCTGGTGAAAATTTCAACTTCAACGATTGAAAAAAAATGAAATTTCGAATAAAGGAGGGGGGACGGTTTGCCCGTAAAACGGCCCTAAATAAAAATCACCTTAGAACACCTTCTGAAATTGAATTATATCTTCCTCCCAGCTAGAATAAAGTATCTAGACCTATTTCTGACAAACTTTCAACATGTCTCCTGAACATTCCTAACTAGGACAGAAGCAGTAATAATGTCGCAATCCCCTTCGTACGTTAATTGCATTGCTTTATAAAATCAAACCCATATTTACAGGACAGATAGAGCGTTTCAAGAGCTTCAAAATGATCACAAAACATTAAGGCGAATATGCTGTGCTCGACGTTTTTCAACGACTACACTAGTCGGATTCTATGAAGAAGCCTATTTTGGGTATAGTGTGGTTCGTACGATCTTGATAATTGCACCTGATACCATCGTGAATTTTTGTGTGCAGATAGAACTTTTTAAGAGCTTCAAAATGATTACAAAATATTTAGGCAAATATGCTGTGCTCGAAATTTTTCAAGGACCACACTGGTCGGATTCTATACAGAAGCCTATTTTGGATATAGTGTGGTTCGTACGATCTTGATAATCGCGCCTCATACCATCGCCAATTTTTGTGTGCAGCAGATAGAGCTTTTTAAGAGCTTTAAAATGATCACAAAATATTAAGGAAAATATGCTGTGCTCGAAGTTTTTCAAGGACCACACTAGTCGAATTCTATACAGATGCTTACTGTGGACATAGTGTGGTCCATACCATCTTGATAATCGTATGTGATGCCATCGTTATTTTTTGTGTGCAGATAGAACTTTTTTAGAGCTTCAAATTGATCACAAAATAGTGAGTAGTATATACTATGCTCAAAAATTGTCTGGGAAGGTAACTGTTAGGTTCGACAGGAAAATTTATTGTTGGAAGCGTAAGGTCCAGTTGATTTTGAGTGTGGTTTCAAATAGAAACATATTTTTTTCTTTGCCAAAAGAGCTCAGAGTGAGGTGCAAATTTATCAGAAAATGGCGTGGAAAGTTTGGCTGGCGAAATTGTTGGGGCCAACCCTATATCGATTGAAGAGAAAGCTGGTGGGCTTGTTTGTATTGTGCCTGCAATCTTGAGTATGGGTCTTGGCACCATGTTGAGTTGTTCCGTGTAGCTGGGGCGTTTGAAGAGCTTGAAAATGATAATAAATCATGAGGGAACATTTCGGCTGTCTGAAAAATTTCAAGAAGATGAATATCGGAATTCTATCAGCAAATGGATGGCGGCTATAGCGTGTTGAATGATATGTTAACCGCGTTTGACTTATACTTGGGCCTTTCATAGTGAATGAAATCCACAATAGGCTTCTTCATAGAATCCGACTAGTGTAGTCCTTGAAAAACTTCGAGCACAGCATATTTTCCTTAATATTTTGTGATCATTTTGAAGCTCTTAAAAAGTTCTATCTGCACACAAAAATTCACGATCGTATCAGGTGCAATTATCAAGATCGTACGAACCACACTATACCCAAAATAGGCTTCTTCATAGAATCCGACTAGTGTAGTCGTTGAAAAACGTCGAGCACAGCATATTCGCCTTAATGTTTTGTGATCATTTTGAAGCTCTTGAAAAGCTCTATCTGTCCTGTAAACATGGGTTTGATTTTATAAATTAATGCAATTAACGTACGAAGGGGATTGCGACATTATTACTGCTTCTGTCTTAGTTAGAAATGTTCAGGAGACATGTCGAAAGTTTGTCTGAAATAGGTCTAGATACTTTATTCTAGCTGGGAGGAAGGTATAATTCAATTTCAGAAGGTGTTCTGAGGTGATTTTTATTTAGGGCCGTTTTACGGGCAAACCGTCCCCCCTCCTTTTCCACCAACAATTTTACCGTCTACTGCTCGAACCCAATTGATAAAACAAGCAGTAAATGATCGTTATGACAGCAGTCATACAACTGAAGATATTATGATGGTGACAAATATGATTGAAATAAATAAAGATATGATTAATCGAGTATTATTACTGTCAGATTTTAATCAAAATATTATTAAATTGGATATAAATCATATTACAATGGATGTTTTAAACGATTTGATCTTATTTCCATTCACTAACATCTGTATTAATTGCACAAAATCACTTACTTCGTATCGATACAAATTAATTCATGTTATTGACTGTTTTAAAATTATTCGAGCAATAGCTGTAACTGCTGAGTGTAAAACATGTTCACTAATTTATAATCATTCATCTTGATATTCATTGAAGAATCGATGGCGAAAGATTAATAAATCATCATTAAATAGTGCGCTTAAAATATTTTATTTATGTGATTCTTTTGCATTTACATATTCGGTTTTCTTTGATTATACATGCCAACTTCTACATGATCAATGCCCATTTCAAGCTTTTTCTCGAATACTTATTGATCGGTATAATTACGAACGTCAAAATAGCAACATCAATCTTCAACCTATTCCATTAGCAAAATTATTTCAATCTCATTGGTTATTATATCAAATTGTATGCTTTGAATTTATGTTAGGACGAACGCAAATAGTTAATTTACCAGTTTCACTTAATCGTAATGAACTTAATTATCATTTTGAATGTTATTCTGGTTGGTGTTATCATTTATTCACGACATTTTGGTCCAGACATAAGTCAATCCCAAATATAAAATGTTGTCCTTCAGATTTTAGTCGATGTATCATTGTGGATGGACATCAAAAATGTCGACGATTAGTATGTAGTTTTAAAAATATTGTCGATACTTTCATTGAAGAAATGACTGCAATTGAAATTGGTTGTCCATATACACCCTGTCGAAGAATACAATCATCGAATTCAGGTAAATATAGAATTATTCGTTACTGTCATTTATATTATTTTATTTTAGTTGATGCAATTTATTGTAGATATCATCAACCCTCAATTCTTTTATCTCCGTCTCTTAATTTACAAAAAGCTGATGATATGGCTGCTGAATTTTCGGTAATATTATTATTATGTTAACTGAGTCATCTTCAGAGGTTAAGTATCAGGGGTTACTCAGCATATAAATACTAGGTCTGACCAAAAGTTCGTGCAGTGATACCTTAATACCTTATGGTGAGCTTTAAGTAACTTTCTTTCTATATAGTCTGATAGAGAAAAAAAAGCTCTATCTTTCTATGCTATTTGATTGTACTTCAACTAATATAATAATATTAAATTATCTGTAAAACCTATTTCGGCTGGTTGTGTGCTGGTTGTACTAGATCACAACGTGTGAGAACAGACTAGTTTTCAATCCCTTAATACATTGTATGAACAACCAAAATGTACCATAAGATGCAGCGTGAAAAGCTCTACAATTTACATAAAGCTACTTATTTTATAGCTGCACTTTTTGTTTTCAAAATCGATAAAGTTTTCAGGGATCAAATTTTGGGCATTGAGAAAATTGGTGGCATAGAATTTTCCTCTTTCTGGAAACAATTACAATAAGCTTTACTGTGTAGATTGTAGAGCTTTTCACGCTGCATCTTGCGGTATTTTTTGTTTTTCTTTTGATAAAGTATATCAGGTGATGAAACAATGAAATAACAAAAATGAATTCGTTGTCTATCGAAAACATTATCTTTTTTGCATGGTCACAATTTGATTGCTCAAAATTTTGTCGATTTCGAAAACCAAAAGTGCAGCTATAAAATAAGTGGCCTTATGTAAATTGTAGAGCTTTTCACGCTGCATCTTATAGTATACTTTGATTATTAATACAACTAATAAGGAATTGAAAACTACAACGCAAAACTTACAACCAGCACAAATACTAATGAAAAAAGTCTTATCGAAAATTTATTATCATCATATTAGTTGAAGTATGATCAAATAGCATAGAAAGATAGAGCACTTTTTTCTCTATCAGACTATATAGAAAGAAAGTTACTTAAAGCTCACCATAAGGTATTAAGGTGTCACTGCACGAACTTTTGGTCAGACCTAGTAATTCCACAAATATGCTATCACGGAATGGTTATAATGTAAATACCATTTATTAGACCTTTTACAATATAATATTTATTATTCACCGGATATAGGGATGCACCAGTCCGATAAAATCATTATCAAAGATGAATTGTTTTTGATACCTAAAACCCCTAGTCCTTTACCAGTCAGTCAAGGTCTTTGAACACGATATTGATTAAGCAAACCAACGCTACCATCGAAGTTTGAAAACTTAGCGGACAAAGAAAAAAGACTGGGAGTGACTGGTGAGAAATCGGAAATTTTCGGCTTTTCACCAGTCATTCCCAGTCTTTTTTCTTTGTCCGCTAAGTTTTCAAACTTCGACGGTAGCGTTGGTTTGCTTAATCAATATCGTGTTCAAAGACCTTGACTGACTGGTAAGGACTGGGGGTTTTAGGTATCAAAAACAATTCATCTTTGATAATGATTTTATCGGACTGGTGCATGCCTAACCGGATAAATGTGAAAGACAATCTCTAACACTTAACAAAATATGTATTTGAAAAAATCTTTTCGTAGTTAATGTTGTGAAATTGATTTTTCTTTTTTTCGTTTCAAAAAAATAATCTATGATCGAAATTATGATAGCCAAGGAAAGCTTTATATGCTTGATTAAAGACGAATAATCATACAGATAACTACGCACGTGTGATCCATTCTACCGTTTGACCTACTCAAAAATTCACATAGATTTTGTTATCTCACATAATTTTTTTTGTTATTTTAGAAATGGGATAGAGATTTTCTCTCGGAACATAAAGCTCAATGCCAAAATTATCGTAATGATAGCGAAGAAATAAAAAAAAATAAATCATATGGTATACTAGCATCATATCATCCATGTGGAGTTGCAGTCGGCTTTACAGAAGCAATTAAAGCTGAAGGTGTATTCATTAAAAAACTCTTTTAAATAAGATTTAAATAATATTTTTCGATTAAAACCTCTTAGAAAACCTTGAAGTGATATAAATTATCGCGTTTATTATTTCTTACTAGGAATGCGTTCTGTCACCCGTCATCTTTTATTGATGATCATTAATGGTTGTCTTATGCCAGATGCACTCATGTATGACTGCGCCTGCGCATTAAAACTTCATTGGAATAAATGGTTAGGCAACGAAATGCTAAAGACATCAACAAGAACACAACAGCTTCCAACTCATCTTGCTCTCGATAACTTTCATCAAAAAACACATTCAAGATCAATGTGCCAAACCATTATGAAATCCGATCATCCATCACATGAAGGACGATTTGTTGGATTAAATAGTCAAGCAGCTGAACAAGCATTTCAATATATATCTCGTGCCAAATTTGCATTACGAAATTTTTCATTTCCACATTCGACAATGATGTTATTGATTATGTTGCATCTTTTGAATTGCAAAATGACCGGCATCAATTCGGAAACAATTGGTGTGGGATTTCAATATTTTGGTGATATAATCAAGGATTTTTTCCCTACACCATGCATATATGAACGCTTTGGTGCATTGAATGGTGAAGAATTAAATAATGATGAAGATGACGATCAGTCAGATCTAGATCATAATGTTACATCTGAAGATATAACATAGTTTTGTTCACATTATTTCTTCACTAAATGTCCTATTGAACATCTGAAAATTGTACTCTTGTTATAAATATAATTTCATATATACATTGTTTTCTTCCTGACGTTTCATTCTTTATTTGTTATCTAGAAATCGAAAATAAATAATTAGTTTGAACTGATTTATTTGTTTGTTGATGAATTTTGTTTAATGCATTATAATGCATTATCATAAGAATTGTGTTACTAATATCCATTGATTATATTTCAATACTTTCCCATTACCTAACAGAACTATCACACTCTCTTTTATCTATATATTACGATATTAGATAATATAATATCGTATGATAAAATGTACATAAAGAAATTTTTTTCTCAATGACACATTGATTCTTGATCATGTTAGTTCTTCACTATACTACTAATAAAGAGAAAAAGAATTTTAAGATCGATATTTTTCATTTTTTCTAAAACAAAAATAATAACAAGAACATTTACGAAATCGATTTTCGATGAATTTGTTTTTGTTTATAATGATAATTGAATATCAAACATTTTCCAATTTGATTTTATTGTTAATTTTAATGGAAATCAAATTTCTTTTTCATGAAATATTTGAACATTTTCATTAAATGTTATTATTTCAACAATTACATTAATCATTCAACTTTCTCAAACATTCATTTTAATTTACGTTAAGCATTCATTTCTTTTGGAAATCTTTATTTTATCATTTCGATTATCAATTCAAATCGGTTGATTTTTCCATTGAATTCTATGACTAAGCAGAACTAAAACGACAGAATTTCATCTAAATTAAAAATTCGATCGATTTTGGTAGCACTATCAATTTCCATTTCTTTAAGTTTGGAATTTAATTTAATTTAATTGTCATTTGAAATTCAACATCCTGTTTGTTTTACATCCTATCAAAGAAATTTTCTTCATATGAAGAATTATTTTAAATAACTAAAATTTGTTTTAATCATCATCAAAAAATATATTTACAAATGATAAATTAATGAATTGTAAAATAAAATATCTAACTGCTTTTTAAAATTTTTTCCAACAAACAATATGTGAATAATTTTTATTTATATTTGATAAAAACAAAAAAGATCAAGATTTATCTTTGTTATTTATCTTGAGAAAATTTCAGCTAAAAGAAATTAAGTATTTTCAATAAGAAA